CACCCTGTATCTGTTTCAATTGAATATCGAATGGAAAGTTGTGATAGGGACATTGAAGCTGTTTTGACCATGCAATAATAAATAGTTTCAACATAAAACATTTCTAAAGTTGGAACATCTCGATTTTCCACATCCTATATCTCAGTTATCAGTCCCGCTAGACCTTGAATGTTTTGAATCGATGAATTCTGCTGTTCAGCAAGAATCCAAGAATGTAATGAAATACAGGGTGTACCATTTGAAAAATCGAAGTTGCTGCTACTTTCTAGTAGAAGCGGCAAGGCCGGATCGTTTCAAATATTTCAGTAGTGTAGATTATGTTAATTTATACATACCATCGAGATTTCAGATTTATCCGTTGTCTGGTTTGCCGAAAACGTCAAATTAACGCTCATCGTGAAAAGCCCTGTATAGTTTTGATGACGGACCTGAAACTAAGTCTGGAACAAAGAACGATATGAAATACTCCTTCTAAATTTAATACTCACGTATACTCAATAGGAAGTAATAAAATTAATAAATCTCGTCTGATTCCAATTTTGTACCCCAAAATGAGCAAAAATAATATTTTGAGCACATAATATGAATAGTTAAAATCGTCTGTGCACGAATAAAAAGCACATCGTTGAATAGAAATTTTGATGTTCTTTTCAGATATGGCAAAATAAATGAGAAATTCGAATGTATAGGGTGTTGTTTTCTGGCAGAAAGAATTTGTGAATTTTAAGTGAGGCCGGACCTGGATTTTATGTTTTGTTGTTGCCTCAATCAATTCCACAGGGTAGATTGAGCAAGTGTACCAATTTTTAAAAATATATACAGGTTGGTTGGAAAGTTATGAGACAATGAAGAAATGGACAAAATTGATGAAACATCCTGTATCTCGGTTATAAGAAGTCGAAGACCCATTAACCATGGGTTTTTTTAAATCACCCCAGTGACCCCTATCCACAGTTGAATTATTTACCTTTCCCAATGAAACACCCTGTATAGTAATCTCGTAGGCCAATATTCAACATTTTTCAAAGAATTCTTTCAGGCTATGAAAACTGTTTTCTACTAGAAAAAAATGAATTTTCTTCCTGAAAATATTCAATGTTGTAGCATTTCTTATTGTGACTGGTAGTTTGTTATATATGTAGCTTCCAGCACAGTACGGCGATTTCCGGTATGAACTGGTATTGAAATTCGAAATGTGAATTTCTTGCGCTTTTCTCGTGTGATACTTATGTATGTCTGTATTAAGTTGGAATTTATTTTTATTTTTATGCATAAAGCAGGATAATTTGAAAATATATATTCCCGCTATTGTTAATAGTTTCTGTTTTCTGAAGGTTTTCCTACATGATTCTCGGTATTGCAAATCGAATAAAATTCTGACGATTCTCTTCTGTATAACAAAAATCCTGTCGATTTCTGAGGCCTGGCCCCATATTATTATATTGTAACTCAAGATAGAGTAGACAAGAGAATAATAACATGTCATCAAATCGCGTTGATTTATTTCTTTTTTCAAATTCAGAATGGCAAAAGTACGTTTAGCAAGTTTGGAGCATAAGGAGTCTATTTCTTTGTTGAAAGTTAAATTGGTATCAATGGTTGTGCCCAGAAATTTGACATGGTCACTTGTTTCAATTTCATCAATTTTTGGCAGAATATTTGTGTTTATCAGTGAGAAATTCATGAACACTGTCTTATGTACATTCATTATTAAGGAATTCCTATGACACCACGATTTGAATTGCATAATTACTATATTTGCTTTATTTTCCAATTCTAGCAAGTCGTTACCGTGTATAATTACTGATGTATCATCAGCATACATATATATATCACCAGAAATTACAAATTTTGGTAAGTCGTTGACAAAAATAAGGAAGAGTAGTGGACCAAGTATCGATCCTTGCCCAACCCCAACAGTCAATTCCATTTCTTCAGACAACTCTGAATCCATACTCACAACAATTCGCCTATTATGCAAATATGAAGCTATCCATTCTAGTGCTTTACCTCTTATACCTAATTTGTTCAGTTTGTATTCTAGAAAAGTTGAGCTAACAGTATCAAAGGCTGCCGTCAAGTCGAAAAATAAACCTGCCACTTTCTTTCCTTTATCTAAAGATGAATATATTTGTTGAGTAAATTCTAGTGTTGCTAATTCAGTTGACCTCTCTGATCTATATCCATATTGACAGTTAGTAAATATTTTATTTCCTTCCATGAATGAATAGATTCTATTTACGAAGGACTTTTCAGCAATTTTAGATAAACAGCTCAATAATACTATAGGTCTATAGTTCTCGACATTGCATTGATCTCCTTTTTTATGAATCGGAATGACTTTTCCCATTTTTAAAGGATCTGGAAACTGTCCGAGTTCAAAGGAGTAATTGATTAGTGATGCAATAGGTTGGGATATAATCGATTTACAAAATTTTAGAAGTTTTATAGGTATATCGTCAATTCCAGTGGAGTTTTTATTTTTCAAACCATCTATGATATCTTTAACTTCATTCTCGGTTACAGGTGTGATGAAAATACTTTGATTAACTTCATTTGGAGGCGAGCACGATGTAGATAAATGTCCGCCGAAATGGCTCTGTAATTTTTTTGATACGGTGGTCACAAAATGACTAACGAATGTATCACATATTTCCTTTTTGTCTTTTATTATGACATCATTAATTTTCAAGTTAATTTCTTTTCTTTCACTTTTTCGACCCAGTCTTTCATTTACAATTCCCCACATTGTTTTATTTTTGTTTTCAGACTCTTTGATTTTTCGTGTATTTTCCTCAATTTTCATATTGGCTATCTTTTTGTTAATAGTTTTCTTATAATTCTTATAACTCAGCATTAGATCGTCATCATTCGAGTTTTTTGCTACGTAATATAAAAATTTCATTTTATCAATTTCCGCTTCAATTTGAGGATTTTGTTTCTTTTTAAAAGTTTGTATTTTTATGTTTCTCTTGGGACATGTTACATTTAAGCACCATTCGAAATGAATGATAAATTCATTGTAATATGAATTAATGTTTTCATGATTCACAGAGAACAAATCATAGCTCGAAGAATAGGTATGCATAAAATTCCGCATATTTTGATCTGAGAAACTTCTGCGTTTAGTTTTAACTTCAGATTCTGTATTGCTCTCAAATTCACAAAATTTTTTCACCGTAACAATTTGTCCACTGTGGTCCGAAAGATGAGGTTCTATAACATCACATTTTATCTGGTAATTCAGGTTAGTAATAACATAATCTATTGCTGTCTTAGAGTTAAAACCTCTTCTAGTGTCAATTCTAGTAGGTTCACGAATATGAAAATATATAGGGTCATTCACCTAACGCAACTTCATGAGATGGTTATAAAGAACTAAAAGAGACATCAATCTGAAATTTTGGTTGCAGCCATTGCGTGATGAGATCTTTTTTTCTAAAATATTTACAATTAGCTTCACTTTCGATTGAACCGAAAGCGACATCAACTTTGTTTTATCAATGGGACAACCTGTACATTATTGCATTTTCAGATTCCCCCTAAAGAGCTGATTTCATCGATACATTACACTTGAGGTCTAGCGGACATGAGTACACAAGAAAAGGGTGTTCAAAATCGGGATTTTTCAACTTCTGGATTTTTTTGTGTCGAAACTATTCATGATTGGTCAAAACGAATTACATGTCCCTTTCTCAACTTCTGAATAAATATCTACTGACATTTAACAGGGACAAATACAGGGAGCTCAAGATTCAGAATTGTGATCGCCATGAATTTGTTCCAATTGGATTACCGACAATTGGACGTGGTCAATTGGACGCACGAAAATTTGACGCGGATAATTGGACGCGGCGACAATTGGACGCGGCGACAATTGGACGCGGTGACAATAATTGGACGCGGCGACAATTGAGCGCATGCGAAAATAAAAATAATTTTATAATTCCGATGAAATTTATTGCATGGAATATGCAGGGCTCATATCTATAATATAACAAATACCTAACCTAACCTAACAGACCAGTACTAGAGTACCTGCGAGGCATTGCACACAATTTTCAATTGCAAGTATAAATAGTCTACATCGTGTATTTTATTTTATTTTGGCAAACCTCTGTTTTTATTAATAAATATGAAGGTTAGGTTAGGTATTTGTTATATTATAGATATGAGCCCTGCATATTCCATGCAATAAATTTCATTGGAATTATAAAATTATTTTTATTTACGCATGCGTCCAATTGTCGCCGCGTCGAATTGTCGCCGCGTCGAATTGTCGCCGCGTCTAATTGACGCCGCGTCTAATTGTCGCCGCGTCCAATTGTCGCCGCGTCCAATTGTCGCCGCGTCCAATTGTCGCCGCGTCCAATTGACTGCGACCAATAGTCGTGCGTCCAATTTTCCACGTTCAATTGACGCGACACCGTTCCAATTAAACGTCAGTGGATAGTAAATCAATAGTGGAGGTAGATATATGAGCTATTTTGACCTATAATGAATGGTTTCCATACAAAAAATCCTAATGTTGGAAAATCTCGATTCTGAACACCATGATATACAGGTTGTTCTATTAAAAACGAAGTAACTGTTACTTCCGGTTCAACCGGAAGTGACAGCGAATTAAAAATATCACGCTATGGCTGTACCCGAAATTTCAGATTAATGCCTCTTTTGGTTCTCTATGAACATCTTATAAATTTGGTAGATGAATGAGCCTGTATATATACCATTCTACAAAGTGTTACACTTTTCGAGCAATCATTGCTCATAGATTCTAAATTGGATGTTATAGTAATACGTTTTCAAGATTTTATATAACGAGCTTAAAATGTTTTTATCACTTTTAGATCTCATTCAACTTCTCAAGTTCTGTGTGACTTTTGCCTCATTCCTTTCAAAAATGTTCAATCCGTGGGATAGAGGTTGTCAAGAATGACATTTAGAATATCAAATGTCAGACCAATCTATTACCTTTTGATTCAAATCTGTTACCTTTTTCCAAGAAAATCTGGTACGAAAAAAATAGACCCAGGAACAACACTGTTTTTTAGACTTTGTGACTTTTATAGAGTCAGAAATCATAAAAGAGGGGAGACATTCATTTTATTCTATTTCCTATTCCTACTTCCTTTTTGGAATTTTTCAGTAGAAATAGGTTTCTTGAGTTTTGATGCCAGTTACGGATCCTTGTAAAGCATTTGCATGTAAAATTCAGGCCTGTTTGAAAGGTAATATCCATTTATTTATGTCAACCTACAAGTCATTATTATGTAACTTGTGTTTTCCTATTTCAGAAAATAAATTCCAAGAGCCGGCGTGTAAAGATGTCATAGAGGAAATGCGAGAGTGTTGTAGAAAGTGGAATGATAAGAGTTTTGTTTGTGGAGGGATTGATACTAAAGGAAAACCTCAAGATAAATCTGGCCATTATTGAACATGAAACAGTTCAGACAAAGAATAAGAGGAAAGGACCAAGGTCTGATTTATAAATATCCCAGATTATTTTTTGGGACTGTTACTACATCAGCACTCCTAATTTTTTTTTCGAGGCCCATCTATGATATCTTTTTCAGTACTGAAGTCATTGATTTTGAAGACATTGTCAAAAATCATAAATCCAGAATAAGGAAGAATTAATTCAATAATGGAATCTGTTCAGAAAGCCAAACAACGTTATCAACAGTATCCCATAATTTTAGCAAAATGTGGAAAAGAAGCTAGTAAATATGCAACATGTGTTCTGAAAAGAGACAATGTCAATTTAAATGATTGTAGGGAAGAGTTTGAACATTTCAAAATTTGTCTGCGAAAAACTGCATGCACTCTCAAAACCAGGATTTAAAAAATAATAATAACTCATAATGCCTTCATTATGGAGAGGATTTGTAAATATCCCTTACAAAAATCACTTAATATTTTCCTTCATGATCAGGGTATTATTAACTATATATGGGATTTATCATGACCATGTTTCTAAAGTTAAATACACTGACATAGACTATAAGGTATTCACAGATGCCTCACGTCACATAATACATGGTAATTCACCCTATGATCGCCACACCTATAGATACAGTCCTTTGATAGCAATACTTCTAATTCCAAATGTAATATTGCACCACAGTTTTGGAAAAATTATATTTTCATTAGTTGATGTAGCAGTGGCATTTCTCATTCGTTTAGTAGTGAAATGCACAATCAATGAATATAATTATTATAAAGAACATGCCAAGGAAGCTATTATTGTAGATGCACCTAAGGCTAAAAAGCCAAACCACATGTATTCAAAGAAACAGAGACAGTCAAGCATGCAATGTATGAACATGACCAAAGCTAACATCAATTTGAAAAGTAATATAGACTTCAATGCAAATTTTGCTATGGTAGTTTGGTTGTACAATCCATTGACTGTAGCAATTGCAACAAGGGGAAATTGTGATTCTATTGCTGGACTCCTTGTTCTGATGACTCTTTACTTCCTCCAGTGTAAAAGATATTATTTCTTTGCTGGAATTACTCATGGAATTGCCATACATTTCAGACTGTATCCACTGATTTACAGTTTAACTTTATACATGTATCTCAGTAAATTTTCCTATTATAGTACAGAAGATCGCAGAAAAATGTCTGTAGTTAATTCAGATTTGATGGGAAAAAGTAAAGCAGGAATTAACAATGTGAAAGATTCTGTATGTGAAAATAATTTAATAACTTACAACAGGAATAGTAACATGAGGAAAACAGTATTCAAAAAGGAATACTTACTATATCTTATTCCAAGTTGTGATCAACTCAAATTGGTATCTGGTTGTATAATTTCACTTTCATGCCTTACAGTCCTTTTTTATCACTTGTATGGCTATAAATTCTTGTTTGAGACCTACATTTTCCACTTCATCCGAAAAGATACCAGGCATAACTTCTCATTGTACTTTTATTTGCAATATCTAACTGCCTGGGTAAAGAATATAGGGATTTGGCAAAAAGTACTGATTCTTTTGCCTCAGACTGTGCTGTTATTGGTGCTGTCAGTTCGGTATGGTCTGAATAGGTTTTCCCTGAATTTTTCCATACTGACTCAAACTATAGTCATGGTAATATACAATAGTGTTTTAACATCTCAGTACTTCATATGGGTCATGGCAATATTGCCTTTGTGTTTATGGCAAGTCAAAATGACAAAAAAAATGGCAATACTTCTATTGCTCATTTGGTTTGTTGCTCAAGGTGTCTGGTTACTTCCAGCATATTTGTTAGAATTTCAAGGACAGAATTCCTTTTTGTTCATTTGGATACAAAGTGTATCATTTTTCTGTGCTAATATTGCAATTTTGGGAAGATTCATCATATATTTTATGCCAATTAGAGAAAAATCTAGTTAGTAGTTGAGAAGTATGTTAAGTAGAATTAGGTAACAGTTTGTAATATTTCAATAAAAGAAAATAACATGGCTGTAGTATGAGTTTTTTATTGACTGATCTTATTTATACAATAAACCAAAAAACAATCCAATTGGCTGGTGTATTGGAATATCTGATGATAGGAATATTTTGGATAGTATCTGAACAGTGGAAACCCTTTTTCACTCAAGACATGCTGAAACAAAAAACATGGGATTTAGATGGAGGGTGATTCAGATTTTTCAATTAAAAAAGTGTATATTAACATGAGTCCGATCTCGATTAGTAGCGGATCTACAGGGGGTCGAGGTTTAAATATTTTTTCTAATAATTAAAATATCGCTCACTTTTGAAGACATCAATTCGAAATTTGGTGTGGTTAATCCTTTATAGGAATTCATAATTTCAAGCACTCAAAAGATCTTTCAAATCTAAAGGGGTGATACGTTTTTGAAAGTTTAGGCTTCCCCCCTCCCCACAACTTTTTCGCAGTACGCCTCTGATATTTTCTAATTACCAAATACGGTGGATCGTTCAATTGAGAGGCTTTTACTGCTTCGCACAAGACAATCACATTCCACGAGAAGATACATCCCCACAAGTTTAATGCTTTTAAATTTACAGTCTTAACACCGAATTTTCCGCGTCCTTGGATTGGTCGGCTAAAAGCAACCTGACCTACCCTCTGTAGCTACTGATTCAGGAAAATTAACATGTTATAGCACGGATATACAATATGATGCAAATGTATGGAATAAATTCATTCCAAAACAAGACGATTTCCGAAAAAAATCCAAAAAGTAGAGTTCAGAACTTTTTTATCGATGTATTTTTTCAACTAGACGACCCTTCGATGTTCAATTCTCAGTAGAAGATCTCTGCAAGATTCAGTTAACCAAATGATAATCCATTTTTTTGCAAAATTTTGACTATTGGATAGACGATCAGTAGACCTTTCAAACGAGGTGTCACATGACCCCTGTTTGTATTTAAAAAAACCGTCCATTACGTCATTACTCCAACACCGGCGACGTAACATCTCTCATATGAATGTCATGAGATGAGGTTTCAAAAATTAAAACACGTGTTTTTGGAATTTCTTCAAATGTCGCCCATTTCTGAAATAATGAATTTATTCCATACATTTGAATCATACTGTATAATTATGCTTATTAATCTCGAAAACCGTGCGTTTCTCGAAAGAAATTTAGATGCAGATAAATTCTTTGAATTGAAAGATATCCACCCTAATTGGCAACTGGAAGATGTCAGAGGAGTACTACGAAAAAGTTTGGGGGAAATAAAGAAGCATTTACCCTCAAAAACGTATCAGCTTGTGGGTTTTAAAAATCTTTAAAATACTTCATATGATGGTCTTTTAGATTTTTAGAAAGTATTGACCACACCAAATTTCAAATTGATATTTGCAGAAGTGAGCAATATATTTCAATTAATAGAAAAAAATAATCAAACTTTGACTGTATCTCCGCTACTGATCGAGATCGGACACATATTTATACACACTTTTTTGATCAAAATGATGAGATCTATCACCCATTTCAATTTGTACCTTAAAAGCTGAATCGCCCTGTATACAGGTTTCAGAACATGAACTTTAATGGACATAAAATGAAAAATACCTTACGCTCATATTATGCCAAATGGCTAATGTTCCTGCCAGTATACAGGGTGTTCAAGATAAGGATGTCTATCATGAGGATTTCAGAAATGCTCTCTGAAACGAAACTTCCTATGGGAAATCTCTGACCGCTGTTTTGTAGAGCATACCAAGGTAAAATGAGAAGGTATCTTTATTTTTCGGCAAATTCCGGTGTTTGACGATTTCGGTTTTTTAGGCATATCTCCGGAACTTCTCGTAATTTTAAAACTTTCTAAACGGCATATTGTAAGGCTTAAAAATGCGCAACTTTCCATCGTATATCATGGTTTCTGAGATCCCCATGACAGACATCCTTATTTTGGACATGGTGTATACAACATTATTATGTATTTCAAGAGCTCCATTTTAATAGTGATTTTAAATCACAAAACACCGCATCTTTAACAAGTAACGGCAACACTGCAAAAGTCACTTCCGGTGCTTGTGATCTCGTCGAAAGACGCTTGGGTTGTGTTATTAACCTCTGATCAATGATTTACATAAGGCTCTGGAATGTTCTGATCTTTTCATTGCTTTTATTTTTAGTTCTTGTCGTATGGGCTTTAAAATTTAATTTACTCCTCTGAAGTAGTCATTAATCAAAAGTGGAGTGAAATGATCAAGAAAGAGAAACTAAGTCATCTCCACAAGTTTAATGGTGAATAGATGCAGTCAATCCTGCTTCAATGAGGGTAGATTTGAGACATGTTTCGGCCATTCAAAGATTCAAATGACCATCATCAGTCAAGGGAGTACACCAAAGTGCATATGGAAAATTGAGAACGTGAAGATGAAAATGGAACAACTCTTAAATTATTTTATTATTGAAACATATAGTGAATAGAATTGAAATTGTTATTAACTTTGAAGGAAAAGGCAAAAAGCCAATCCCTCATTAAAGGACCTCGCACGAAAACACGGTAAATTGGCTCTCGGTCGAATTGGCTGAAATTTAACTATGTTATTGTGGGATGGCTCATTGAGAAAATATGTGAGTTTGATAAGTTTTGTATGTTTAGTTTCTGAGATATAAGCCTACAAAGTTCGTAAAAACGTCGAATCGGGGTAGGATTGACGAAGAAAAAAACTGTTTTTTTAGTATGAATAAGACAAAATAAGCTAGAAAATGTATTGATCGGAACTCAAATACATGTTTAGTTATGATCACATGAATTATAGTGAACCAGGGTGTATACGAGGCACGGTCAAAAAATTCATTTTTCGGAAACAAAATTCGAGTACTATTCCAAAACCAACAAGTTATATTTTGGTGAGACATTATAGTTTTAGTCTATTGTAGGCTTCGGAAACGTATTTTGATTCTTGATAAACTATCTCTGTTCGAAATATGAATTCTTTGAATTTTGTGTTATACCCCTTTTGAAAACAATTGAAAGCTTGTTTTTGATCACAAAGAAAGAGATTGATTGATACTGTTCATTGAATGAAAGCTGAGGTAACTCACTAGCGAATTCAGTTGTTCAATATTTCCTTCCATTTAGATACAGGATGTGTTAGATTTTGTTGAAGATTATTTAACATGTTTCAATTGAATATCTCGAAAACAGTTCCGTTAATTTGAATCTCATTTTACACACACTATTTTGAATATGTTGACTATCATATGCAAAAAGTTTTGAAATTTTTTATGTTTCGTTTCTGAGATATCAATTTTTGAGTAATATTCGAGGTAATAACCCTATAATACTTGTAATACTGTAAACTCAAAAATGCATATCTCAGAAACGAAACATAAAAAAATTGGAAAACTTTTTGCATATGATAGTCAACATATTCAAAATAGTGTGTATAAAATGAGATCCAAATTAACGGAACTGTTTTCGAGATATTCAATTGAAACATGTTAAATAATCTTCAACAAAATCCGAGGGGTAAACAGCTGACCAAAATGTGTACACCAGAAATCCATTTTTGTGGAATAAATCCAGAAATCCATGGAAATCCATTCGAACATCCATGGAAATCCATAGATATCCATAGAAATCCATGGAAATCTATGGAAATCCATGGAAATCCATGGAAATCCATGGAAATCCATGGAAATCCATGGAAATCCATATGGAAATCCACAAATATTTTGTATGTTCAAATCATCGAGAAAGGATTATATCAGTTATCTGGATAGAATAATTGATATTATGGAATTTCAATCACGCAGGTTTAAATCAAACTATCACACATAAAATAAGTATCGCCTATGCAAGATTGAACGAACTAGAACTTGAACCTTGAACGAAAACAAAATTAACAAAACATTTTAACAGAAGAAAACAAACAACAAATGGATATAAAAAAATGACATGAAAGCTTATTTGTTCTTCATTTTTGAATAAACTTGATTGATTTCAGCTAGCTGCAAATCACTCAGTTGTAAGACTGCAATGTGTTCATCGGCCTCTATTGGTCCATAAAAAATGTATTTTCTCAAAACTGTGGAAATATCATCTGGTTTCTTCCACAAGAATTTTGTTTCACTCCCTCGTTCCTTTCTTAGAAATTTCACGACATATTCACTATCAACGATTCTAGATATTGAGCCCAGATACCATCGTTCTTCGTAATAAATAGCATAGAATTTTCCACATTCCGGTTGAATAGAATCTGCCAAGTTGCTATTTGTCTCATCAACTGTAAGTTGACCGGGAGGAATTTCATCAGAGTTTCATCAGAAAAATTCTCAGTGTCTGTACTATCATCGTATTCAACACTCGATTCGTCATCATCTGAAGATTCGGAATTTGATTTTTTGCTTGTGTTCTTTTTGGGTCTCTTGATTCGCAGTCGTTTCTTCTTAATCATCTCAATATTTGATGAACTCTTTCTTGGAGCAATCGAACCGTTACTAGAATTGCAGCATTGTTGAATGCGTTCATTCTCAACACATTCTTCAGGGAAATCGGTAAAGAAATCTTGAGAGATTCTTCAACTTCGCGGAAGCAGTCCTCTCTCGACTCAAAGTCTGCCTCGTGGTCCATTCTGAATAAAGAAATCTCGTGTAAATTGGACAGATTATCTAAAGGAGATTTCTCATTGATAACTCAACTTCCTGATCGATATTGATAAAGAAAACTCGAGAAAAAAACTTACTAAAGCCACTGCTATTCAACAAAATTAGGAGGAAGAAAATACATGAAAAAGCCATACAAGTATGATAAATCAATTTCTGTGCATTAAACGCTCTACGAATTGAATTGATCTGAGCGCAATTTGAAGAGGTTCATCATCATCACTTCTTAGTTTAACGTGATACATATCTTCATTGGATTTTTAGTGATATGTCTGAAAAAGTTGAACAGTTGAAAACAAATTGAAGGCATTCCTTGTCAAAAGTTCTGTGAGGCCTCGAACCAGAAATGCAAATATCATACATCAAATCTTTCCAGTCGTATACGAAGCATTTAAAAAAATATCAATTCTGCAATACCTTCATTTTCGACTGAATAGAGAATCATTTTTGGGGAAGTTGACTAGTATTGAACATTATTTCCAATAATCTGAATACTTCTATCTACTATGAAAATCAGGTATTATCATTCTTTGAAATTTTTGAATGATCGATTGAAAATAAAAACTTCCTAATCATCAATCTTACTAAAAAACTAATTTTTCGTAGAAATGATAATAAAAAAGTTTCCGAAAACAATCAATTGTTGAAGAAATTATAAAAGCGAGATAAAAAATGATCAGACCTGATTTTCATCGTAGATATATGTGATCAGATATTTGTACGTAGTTTTCAATTCTAGTCAACTTTTATTGAGAACAATTTGAAAATATAGGTAGGTATGTACTCTGATCTGGAACCATGCAAATACATATCTTTCGACATACCTCGTATACGACTAGATAAATTCGGTATTTGATATTTGCTTCTTCGGTATTGTATTACATCTTGCAGGACTTTCATGAATAAAGAGTTTTTTTCAAAAAATTTGAAATGAATGAGTTGTCCCTTTGTTGGCAACTTTCTCAGACATACTGTATACCTATAAAATATACATATTCAATTTAATTTTTTAAATTTCACGGGAATATAATATCTTCGATTCAGAAAACGTCCCTATTGTCGGGACACTATATTTTCGATATCAGTCGTATACGAGGGGTGGCTCACTATGGTAATATGGTGTACATCGTGCCAGTAATATATTACCAGTACAGTATTATACTTCTAGTATTACCGGTATTACTTGTATTATCAAGTAATATTTGGTAATATTTCATATGACAGGTATTATTGGTAATATCGGCTAGTAATATTGGAATATTGGTAATATCTGCTTGTAATATAGTAATATAAGAAATATCTTCCAATAATATGGTAATATTAGTAATATCTGTCAATAATATGGTAATATTGGTATTATTTTATAGTAATATTGGTGATATTCCAAGTAATATTAGTTTAACGCATCAAGTAATACATTGGTAGTATTTCTAGTAATATTATGAAAATGAGTATTATACGTTCTAATGTTCTATGAGTCAATTATACCAGATGTCGCAATGAAAAATAAGCGTTCGCCACCTAGCGAGATTTTTGAAAGCTGTCTGTCAGGTGCAGCAACATGTTATTTTCCATCGTGAGTATCTAGACCTCGATCTATACCTACCTGATCTCTATGATTAGAATGAGTATCAAAATACCATTTCTTTATTCTTAATTGATGGTTCAGTATGTATTTGCATGAACTCAGTGTTTGAAGACTAATGGTTGAGTAATCGGCGACTATAGGAACACCCAAACAACCACAAATAAGGTATTGAGGAATGTCTAACTATATTTCAGCAACTAATTTGCCAAATTGAGTAGACCTAAATAGTTATTTATTGCTTTACATGAGAGAAAATCACAAGATTTAAAGCTACCCAGGCAGTTAAAGTGCACCTTCTATGCCTGTTAAGTGACATTAAAAAGCCATGTTTAATGTCATGTGGAGAAAATAACTCTGTATTTTTATGTTGGCAATACCATGCAATACTGAGTATTATTCGAAATATGTCTCTATCAGCTAAAATGGAATACTTTCTAGATCTATACTAAAGAATAGCAACAACTCATCTGAACTCACGGGATATTACTATGAACTAGGTAATATCTGATAATACCATCAATAATACTCAAGATATTACTAAATATTACTGATTTCTCAAAATATTACCAAATATTTCCAAGTAATGCCAAATATTACCAAATACTACCGAATATTCCCAAATATTCCCAAATATTACCAATTATTACCAAATATTATCAAATATTACCAAATATTACCGAATATTACTGAATACTACCAAATATTACTAAATATTACCAAATATTACCCAGTATTACCAAATATTACCAAATATTTCCGAATATTACCAAATAATACGAAATATTCGGGAATGTTACAAAATATTACCAATATCACCTTCCAAATAATGTTTAGGAACCTGATAAACCACATTAATTATTACTAGTTCATACAGGTAACCACCCTTATCACTATCATTAATTCAACTATCATCAGTAGGAATATCTATATATTTCGACAATTAAACTGAGGTCGAATTTTAAATCGATTTACTCATAGATCCAATTATAAATTTCTATTCGGTTCTCACACTTGGTTAGCCCCATCTTTCAGTTACTCTCCAGAGCAATATGACACTATACACACAAATTTCTGGTGAACATTGCAGCGGTGTCATTATGATTCCGTTTAAGCAATTTTGTTTTTTTGGACCTTGTTCTAAATACGGTTCTATATCGTGATAATTTTTCGAAATTCTTTCTTGGACCATGAACCATCATGCTCGAAAAAAAAATTATGAAAGTATTTGAAGTTTATTTCGTTTATCAGTTTAGTTGTCGAAATATATAGACATTTGTGCTGATAATAGTTGAATTGATGATAGTGGTGAGTGAGGTTACCTGTATACATTATTAATTAACGAGGTAATTAATGTCATTCATCAGGTACCCATCATTATTTGGAAGGTAGTATTGGTGGTATTTCGTGATATCTGCGGTAATATCTGGTAATATTTGGTAATATTAGGTAATATTAGGTAATATTTGGTAATATTTGGTAATATTTGGTAATATTTGGTAATATTTGGTAATATTTGATAATATTTTGTGGAATTTGGTCTTATTTGGTAATATTTGGTAATATTTCACATAATCAGTAATATTTAGTAATATCTTGAGTATTATTGGTATTATGGTAATATCCCCTAAATATTACTGATATTACCTGATTTGGTAATATGGTGTACAAAATTTAGGCAAGTGAGCCACCCCTCGGTCGTATATAACATAGAATTATAAATAATGATGGAGTTGGGTACTCAAGTTGTTCCTCAGTTCTCTAAAGATTATTTCCTATCAATATGAATCAACTGAATGTTCATCAGACAGGACGTCATACAAGAATTGAAACTTGGAAACGAAGAAAACTGAAAAATTCACGTGATATAATTCAGTGGTAATCGAATAAGCCTATAGAAATATATTTTCCTCAATTTTCAATCATGATTTCTTGAACATACTTATCACTAATATGGCCACAGATAGTATTCTATTCTATTATCGTTTCCACATACTTACTCAGTTATTTCTCGTTATTCGATTAGTAGGGATTCATCTAAATCGAGATCTAAATGCACTTGCACTCTACTTGAGTTCTGTTGTTTACTAACAGTTATTTAACAATGCCATCGCGCATGCCTTTGCGCACGCGTTTGCGCATGCGTTTGCGCATGCGCTGTTGCATCTGCGTCGTACATGGAAATCTATATAAATCCATATAAATCCATTTAAATCCACAAAAATCCGAGGAAATCCATGGAAATCCACGGAAATCCATGGAAATCCATGGAATTCCATGGAAATCCATGGAAATCCATGGAAATCCATGGAAATCCATGGAAATCCATGGAATTCCATATTGGTGTACACCATAAATCCACAGCTGTTTACCCCTCGACAAAATCTAACACACCGTGTATCTAAATGAAAGGCAATATTGAACAACTGAATTCGCTAGTAAGTTTCCTCAGCTTTCATTCAATCAACAGTATCAATCAATTCCTTTCTTTGTGATCAAAAACAAGCTTTCAATTGTTTTCAAAAAGGGGTATAACATAAAATTCTAAAAATTCATATTTCGAACAGAGATAGTTATCAAGAATCAAAATACGTTTTCGAAGCCAACAATAGACTGAAACTATAATATCCCACCAAAATATAACTTGTTGGTTTTGGAATAGTGCAAGAATTTTTTTTCTCCGAAAAATGAATTTTTTGACCCTGCCTCATATACACCCTGATTCACTATAATTCATGTGATCATAACTAGACATGTTTATGAGTTTCAATCAATACATTTTCTAGCTTATTTTGTTTCATTTATACTGAAAAAACAGTTTTTTTCTTTGTCAATCCTACCCTGATACGACGTTTTTAGGAACTTTGTCAGCTTATATCTCAGAAACTCTAAACATACAAAACTTTTCAAACTCACATATTTTTCTAATGAGCCATCCCATTGTCAAATTTCAGCCAATTCGACCGAGAGCCAATTCCCCGTGTTTTCGTGCAAGGTCCTTTGTTTTGATCATCTTCAGGAGTGATGAGGAGTTTCAGCATAAAAATGAGCCTGAGATTTTAAATATCCATATCAGGAAAAAAGTTATTACTGTGAAACCAAAAAGGTAATTTCTCCAGATCACTGTGAATGAAAGAGATAACAAGACAATTTGAATAATGTCCCAAGGTAATGAGATCATCTTCATGCTGTTGCTATCAAAGTTGAAAATAAAGTTTTTCTTTATATGGGATTCTTTTAAAAACTTTGAAATTTTGCACTAGACTATAAGTACTAGCAAACAGTGTGATCAAATTGTTCAAAGCAGAAAATAGTTATTCATATTTTAAAAGGGGCAAAATTAGTGTTGCATAGTTTTTTTGAATTAATACTAAAATTAACCAATAGTACAGGGTACAGGATTTGGTAATCTAAAAAAATTTTTTGTTCTAAAATTTGTTCTATCCGTCATTCGGTTGCCCCCTTACGAGCAACCCTCAAAAGTCTTCGAAAGTCTTGTGCGAGCAAGGAATGACGGGGGCCTTACCTTTTAACGTGTGATCCCAAACACATCTGGTGTAGAAACTTTGCACCAGTAATCTATCCCTCTTGAATCCCAATGTAGAGCAACTTTGTCACTACATTACATTAACAAAACCCTTTTTTTCATCACTTGACATAACACTGCTTTACCACTCACCCAACTATGCTGTTATATGGATTTCAGGAAAAAATTAAAACATTTATTTGAACTGAGTGGGAGTAGGTAGGCAAATTTGAAAAAAAATTTATAGAAGAAAATACCTTTCAATAAGACTTGCTCTCATTTTTGATGTGATATTTGATGGGGCAGATTCATTCAGCCTGAATACAGACTCAATAACTGTGAATTCTGTAGATGTAGTATCCATGCCAGCAAATGCACACCAATCATTTACTACTAGCCCTGCTCCAACCACTTCACTACCTCTATTGATTGTACCAGCCTGAAAAAGAAAACCATCATGAGCAGTCATATACATTCTGTAATTTTTTATCCTGCTCACCACTAATGGAACTTGTAGTAAAGATGACAATTCCTCTTGATCCACAATGCTTGTGTTTGGGTGAACCAAACCACCCTGGTTACTCAGAACACAATATGATCCCACCAATACATTACTGGCTATTGTCTGCCTGAATACTTCAACTTTCAATGTATCAGCTATGATTTCTTCTGTTTCCTACAAAATGATTGTTATATTTCATTAATATTTTTATTGATGATCATAATAGAGGTACCCTATCTAAATCTGGGTGTACCAGTGCCACATAATCATTGCAAGCTATCACATTTCCTAGGGCTGATAACCTTTCCTCTACCCTCTGTATTTTGACAGAATCTGGGAGAGAATTACGAATATGCTGAAGTTCTGTATCAAATGTAGAACTTGGTACTAATAGGCCATTTTTGTTTCCAACACACATCCTACCAATTATTCGACATCCAGCCAGTGATGCATGTACTACTGGTATGGTTTCACGTAATTCTCCTTCGAAAGTACTGTAATGATGTGGTTAATGAAAACACAAAATACATTGCACCATATTATGTTAATACCTGTAAAAATTTTCTGAACCACCAATGCCTACAAGGCAATAAGCATTTGTAAGTTTTGAAAAAACTCCTATTTCATTATTGTTCTCGAATTGAACTCGTAGAGCCATTTTCGAAAATCACCAAAATTCAGTACAAGCAGCAGAGCAAATTAGGCAATCCAAACCACGTGACATTTTAGCTGACAAGATGGCGTCTGGTTGGCAAACAAAGATTATACATCACTTGTAATCAAATCATATTTTGCCCGAATCATCCTATTATTCTGGTAGTTTTATGTGTCAGGTGTTTGAGGGAGTCTCGGAGCTGAATTGAACAGTTCTTCAATATGCTGAGTTCATATTTCCAGAAGTTATTGCAGGAAAACCAAGAGGTTGGTCAGAGGTAAACATGAATATTTATTATTTTTTCGGCTATTTTTCTCAACTAATCAGTAAATTTTCATTCCTGAAACTATCATACAACCATAATTTGTTTGTAGATATCTGATGAAGCTGATGTTGATCAAGGATTTGAAGCCCTTCACATCTGAAACTGCTGACTGATTAGACCACCTCATAACTATACTCTCCTACTATTTATAGTGACCCACAGTTTCTACCCTTATGAGCAAATGAAAGCATTGAAAACCCTTGTTGTTCACAAGTATTTTTCAGCAACTTTTGGCCAGGAAGTAGACAGGAAGATGAATAATTTTCATGTCATAGTTGGAAAGGTAACTTTTTAATTTTATATCTAAATAACGTTCATGATAGGAACAGTTTGAATGATGAAATTATGTTATTCATATATTTTTATATATATTTCCTACCTCATATTCATGTATATCTTATGCAATTTTTTTATAGGTAAAATATTCACAATCAGATTCTGTGCTAATGAGTAACTTGAGGCTTGGGCAAGTAAATAAGGAACAGTTTCATGTACTGATGTATGTGCTTTGTGGCCCATGCCACCACTCTCACCATGATTGTGCCCATCATACCAATAGCAGAAATGGACATATAGGTACAGTTGCTCTGGCTGGTTTAATACAAAATCCCTACTATATCTTCAATGTCCAAGAAACGTGTGTTTTGGGAACAACATTCACAAATTGCTTTGAAGTTTCATGCTGAAGTTATAATACCTGGACTTTTGGGTGGATATTAATTTCACCAGAAGTGAACTATTGGTGTAAGTGTTCAAGTGCTGATGATGGCACCCCTATGACTAGTTGTGACAGTGATAAAGGGAAATTGTATGGTTCTATTTTAAATGTGTAGATATTTTAGGTACACCATTCTGATTCAACAAGTTCTATAAAAAAATATGTACCTATTCATAATAAATATATCATTCAATCATTGTTTATTATTGTTTCAATCAGATCACTGAATAACTATAATGTTCTATGAAGATTTTTTCATGGCTCATGTAGATCTTTTGTAATATAGTGGAATAATACAATGTATTTTTCATTCAATGAATATTACAATTATTTTGATATACTTACTTTATTTGTCTTACATTTATAATTGATAAAAATAATTCACAACAAACTGTAATTTGTAAAAGTACTTATAATCTTGTAGGTTTTCACCTTGTTTTCACCAATTTTCTCTTCTATTTCTTTATCTCCCAGGACACTTTCTTCATTACACTAAAATAAATGAAAAATGATGTAGCAGTAGTATTAGGTAATTAGGTGTTTTCTTGAGAACATAGGTCTCTGGGTTCTGATGCTTGATTCATGATTTGAACCTTTTGTCTGCTCTCAGTTTTTGATCCACATCAGTCTTGCATTTCAAATGGACAAGAGATTGATGACCCATATTATATTGCAATGGGACCCAAGCTGGATATTCTCATCTTTCAGGCACTATGTTTTCCTATAATAAGGTAGATTATGAATTAATGTATTAGAAACATGATGTTTCCATACTATGTATAGGACCATCAAAAGTAATGAGTATTGGTTTATTTTATCAAAATGAAAAAAAGATAAGTTTTCCATAAGATGAAACACTAAACTCATCAGTTCTAGTAGGTAGGTACATATAAATAATATCAAAATCTCTTTTCTTAGGTACCTGTTATGAAAATAGTGTCTCCCACATATCCTCTGGTTTATTATGATTGATTCTGTTGCTGATTCTTTCTCTTGATGGCTGCTATCCACATTTCCCTAATTTTTCTTGATAGATTCTTCATCTGTGGGTAATGCTCAGAGTTTTTCACAGTATTACAGTAGGAATGTGACAAAACATCAAATGGTCCCGATCTGCACTGCTTCCACAATCCACCACAATTCAACGTTACTGGCAATTTTTTCTTTGAAATCATACTGAGTTTTCATTATTCACAATAAATCTAGCCGAAACTCGATGAAATAATACTGTAAGAGGCTTCCGAAACCCACAAAGTTCTCAAGTAAACAAACTTGTTTTTGGTTTATTTGCCAACCAGACGCCATTTTGAAATTATTTGACAGGTCGTTGGATTGCCTAATAAAATGAATTTAAGCAAACAAGTTAACACTCAAAAAGAGGTTAGGTTATAAGGATTCAATTAGAGTTCCTATGTACTTGACACTTGCTTGACACATTTAGGAACTCTAGCCACGATCAGTGTTGCCAGCCCAGCAGAGCTACTAAAAATGTACTGAAAAATGACCGGAAAAAGTACTAGTTCTTCGAGGAAAGTATAGTAGTTTGGATTTTCATTTTTCATTGAAACTTCCTACTATTGATTAGGGGGGAGGAGAAGGAGGGTATTCATAATCACAAATGAATCACAACTTTGATGAACGTGAAAACAATTTATAAATGACAATATACAATTTTGACTCGTGATTGAGACTTATTATGAACTGCATAGTAGTACATACTGTACATACTAGAGTGACTTCAGGCAATGACGGCTAAATACCTAGATTGTCCGACGGGTCATAGATGACTGTTCATTTAGCGAAAATCGCCTTGTATTAAAATTTCGCAGGGACGGCATGTGGCGTCATCTATTTCCTGTGTCAAATGAGCTTGTGGCTATTGCGGCGAGCAAATGAGTCCATTTTTTAAACGAACATGTTTAATAGCACAAAAACATTACAAAATCGGTTGTTTAATCGTAAATTCTAGAGACAACAATGAAGTCGTGTATCGTCTATCAAACGAGAGAGACAGAGAGAGAGGGACCCAAGGCTATTCAACTCCGCCAAAATCCGACACTTGACGTCGACGTCCGTGATAGTTGCGTGATAGCCAAGCGTGATAGCTCTTATCTGACACATGTCACCGGCGTTGCCATGCTTCTTGAAGTACAGCCAACCGTCGACAAATGCCTGTGGCTAAGAGTGGATCTGCTCCATTTATCCGCCACAAGCTATTCATCATAACCTGAATTATCTGTTGACAAATTTTCTCACTGTCAGCCTGTCACTCTTTGTCATTCGAGTTTGGAGAGATTCAATACATTTATTTTTCTTGTTAAAATATGTACAATATACGTGTGTACAAGTAAAGTTCAATGTTTAACATGTAAATAAAATAACGACGACGAAACAATAAAAACACGTTAAAATCCCCTGGGAATGCCTCCCGGCACCCAGAGGTTGGCCACGATTGGTCCAGGGGGGTCAAACTTTACACGAAGCACATGTTGGGAATGACGAGCAAGCTATGTCCTAGGACAGGGTCCTTTTCATAGCCAATGTCAGCGAGTTGCTCAGGGCGAGCGATAATTCAAATTTTCGGATTGCTGCTATCATGATCTCTCTAATTTATCGTTAATTGATGCTTAGCGGAAAATAGAAGCAAAAACCATTATTCCGATAGTTCCAATGGGCTTCTATCATGGAGTATGGGGGGGGGGGTAGGAGGTGGTTTTGGTGTGTATCGAAAGATGGTGCGTTTGGAGAGGTTTGTTCAAGATATCAAGAAAAATTGTAAAAAGGCCAACAAAATCAAGTATTTAGGAGTGTTCATGTCGAATAACGCTATTATATGCATTAATAATAATGCCATTCAATTAGACAACATAGGGATATTTCATTCACGTTACCCGTCATGGTTGGTTGAAACTAATTATTCCATTTCATTGTGTTCAACCGTGACGTAATTTCCGTTTGGGTACACTTCCCCTACCTGCCCTTGGGTTTACCGACTCAAAAAGCAATGCAGAATACGTAAGCGTAAACGTAGAATTTGACATCTAAGCATGCGCAGTATGCGAATTTCGTATGCCAGGAGATACGTCTGACGTAAGTTTACGTCTTGCTACGCTGGCGCTAAACGCAAATCGTATTGAACCGAAGGCGTTACCCATCTAAGCGAATACAAACGATAACTATTCGGTTTTTACTTCAACCTCACTTTTATCACATGAAATCACATTTGTTTTTCATTGCGCTTTGTTCTTGTGTTGTGCTTCGAAGAAATCATGGACAATTCAAATAAAAGAATTCTTTTTTCCTTGGAAGATGATTCGCATCTCGCAAGGGAAGTTGGAGGCCATAATCCCTACGAAGACACGGGCCGTTGGAACCTCATCCAAATGAATATAATGTAAATTACTGGAAAACTTATAGCTTCCTGGTATTCCTAGGGCTCTAGCTAATCTTGGAATGTCATTTTACGCAAATCGAAATAGATTTTTATATTCTATTTCGAATAAATTATTTAAATTGATATCTATATAATTCCCTTCGATTACCTGAATTGTCGTTCTCATTCAGTACATGAAGGATAAACATATCATCTAGGTCATCGTCACTACTAACATCGCTATCATTTGTAGCTTCGAATATCAAAATCTCTTCCATTTTGCAACGAATAAGGGTTTGCAGCAACAACACTGGAACAATATCCAAGCTCATATGACACGAATTTTTCGACATTTCTTTCAAGTTATCGGAATCAATTTTTATACGACTCAGTGCGTCGGCAGTAACATTATCTCTTCCTTTGATATAATTTATAGTATAATTCATATTCTTCGAGCGTTAACCTAAATTCAGTAAGTCTGCTTGAAGGGTTGGTCATGCCGAAAAGATACAATAATGCAAGTGGTAAGGGCCACGCCGAACAGTTGAATGGCGGTCCAATTCCTGTTCGTCCTTCTCCCCAGGTTC